AGGCGGTTCAAGTGGTGTCCGAAGTCGTGGTTCAAGTAGGTGTCGCAAGTGGTGCTGAAGTAGGTGGCCCAAGTGGTGGTGGTGAAGTAGGATTCCCAAGTGGTGCCTAATTTGGGAATTTTCATTGTTACAGTCTGTTTGGATAACTAAGTAATACTGGTTACTGTATTTGTACTACTATGTTCGAATTTGGATAACTACGTAATACTGGTTATTGTATTTGTACTAGTATGGGTTGAATTTTCATTGTTACAATCATTTATATATGTGTTTCAATTATTTATGTGTTTCAATTATATGTGACATAAGAACATCTCATTGTTAATTTTACTTTACAAGATTATTTTTAAAAAAGTTAATATATATGATTATTCTCCCACTAATACCTTAGAACAACCTTACACTTTAAAGAAAGGTTTGTTAATGTGATATACTTTACGAAGTGAAACTCTACAAAAATGTGTTTCTGCAAATATGATGGTGCATAATCATATGAAATGTGTTAGAAATTTCAAAAATGAACTGGACTACTGAAAATTTATATTTTTAATTAGGTATAATTGGTTAAGTAGGTAAGACGTCAACAGGACAACTATGTGTTCTATTTGTAACACTGAAATACTTGGGATAACAATGTGTTATATAAGAAGCACATGTCTTAAATCGTGGCATAACGGCGCACACGTGGGTTTTTATTTGAATTTTTAAACACATTTTTGGGTTTTTTTAAACACATTTATTTTTCAATTTTTTGGGGTTTTTATTTCAATTTTTCCCGGAAAAGTTAAAAAAAAACGAAACATAATTTTCCCCAAATCGAAATCTAGGGTTTCTCTGCCCTTTTACCGATTGCGACCACGAGCTCGAAATCGAGTATTTCTCTGCCATTTCTCCTGCCAATTCGTCAACAGCAACGTCTCCGTATGTTTAATCGCCCTCAATTTTAGTCAATTTAGCTTGTATTAGGAGGATTACGGATTTGAATCGCACTCAATTTTGTATAGAAAATGGGTAAATGGAAACGCATTGACATGTTTGGTGAGGAGTTCGATACTGGGTCCAACAACAGCGACTCATCATCTTCGGATGACGAACTCATCCTCCCCAAATATGATTATATGGCANATATCACTCCGACTCGTTTTCCTCCGACTCCGGAGACATGGGAACCCTCACCTATTGGCATTCCGACCATATGGTACTGTCGAAAACCAGTTGTGCTTAAGACTCAAATAATTGGGTTGTTGACTAGTCAAAAATTCTACTTTTGTTCTGGTGATATTCGTGTAAGTCCAACTTATCCTATTTTGTGCTTATTGTTATCCATTTTTTGTTTATTGTTATCCATTTTGTGCTTATTGTTATCCATTTTGTGTATATGTGATAACATGAAAGATGGAGATTGCCACATTTACAAGGAGTTGGCTGTTGCAATCTTGGAGGAGATTACTTTAAGCAAAACCAAATTGGGAGAAATAGAAGATCGCTTTTTGCAAGAGCAGAAGAAGTTTGAAGAGATGGTCAGCTTTTACAAGGAACAGACCGAAAAATCATTAAAAGCACTCAGAAGAAAGTCGATTACCTAAGAGAGATGACTTGCAGACTTCATGCAAAGATAAAGGATTTGATGATGGAGTTGGAGAGTTGAAGTGAACAAGAGCTTATCATTGTTCCTTGTTTAAGTACTTTTATTTTTGTTTAAGAAAACTTTGTTTAGTTTAATTATTTGTATGGTTGTTTAAGAGATCTTTGTTTAAGCACTTTTATAGTGGAATGGTTGTTTGAGGAATCTTTGTTTAATTACTTTTAAGTAT